AGTTAAATCATCTAACACTAAGTAGGTGGGGTATTGTAGTATAAAGATGTGTGATGAATGTATTTCTGTATTAACAGAACGAGTTAAATCATCTAACACTAAGTAGGTGGGGTAATGTAGTATAAAGATGTGTGATAAATGTATTTCTGTATTAACAGAACGAGTTTAATCATCTAACACTAAGTCGGTGGGTAATGTAGTATAAAGATGTGTGATAAATGTATTTCTGTATTAACAGAACGAGTTTAATCATCTAACACTAAGTCGGTGGGTAATTTAGTATAAAGATGTGTGATAAATGTATTTCTGTATTAACAGAGGTGAGTGTGTCCACATTGAAACAGCTGGCACTGACTAAGGGTCCCCTGCTGCCCACACTGAATACCATTGTACCATACCTTGACATTTCATCTAACCAGGAGTACCTCGTCCGTAGGATCCTAGGTAGGACACTGTATGCTTGTCTCCCAAGGGTTTTGTACCCAAAACAACAATGAGTGTGAGTGTGGTGTGTGTGTGTGCATTCTTGACAGGTTTGGTGATATATTGAATGATATTTATCGATAATTGTACTTGTTAAGAAGTAAAAGGGAAAAATATACTTAATAGATAGATCTGTTATGTTATGAGGTTTTAATGTAGTGATAACTGAGGGGCGTAATAGGATTTTACAGTAATTACTTTGGGATAGGAGCGACTTTGAAAATTTCACTTTCCAAAGAATTGCATGTTTCTATTGGAGTTTGAATAAATCAGAATGTTAAAAATCAATTAGGATCATCCACAACTGTATTCTAACATGTTTTTGTTAAAAAAAAAAGGTTTAATGTAATTTTGATCAGTGATAAGAGAATATATAATTTGTATTTTCTTACCCGCCACTGATTAAACATGACACGACATTAATGTTGATTGTTTGTCCACAGAACTTGGTAAGGATGGCTGCATGAGTGAGTTTAGCTGGCATGGAGGTGGTTGTTATGGGAAGGCTTGGGGAGAACACCTACCAACAGATGCGGGTGTAAGTCTTACACATATTTCCCTTCAAACATAGAACATTTATTTATGATGACTTTAATAATTTAATTGATTACCACTAGATAAGATTTCCATGATAAATTAGATGCCAGGTTTTATCAGCGTCAACAAGGCCGGCCCTGGTGAATGTGTTACAAAGTGAATATAAATTGGTGTTAAATTATATAATACAGTATTATAGAATTACTAAGAGTACACTTCTTGACTCATATTCTTGCTTATAACCCAGTCACATTTGTGATCTCAAGCAAGGAATTGTCTTAAGAATATAAGTTTATGAGGTTTTGTTTATTTTGCAAATAACTGTGCACTATCAGACTGGAAGCTGACAGCTGGAGAGGACACTTATTTGATAGCCAGACCATTTGCTCATTGAATCTGACCAGCGTTAATCCACATTTGCTGAGTTTTCCTGAACGAGTGGGGCCTGTAACAAACTAGGAAATTCATTTTAAGGCCCCATAGGGTACCTTATCAGTATGATTTACAGCATCCAGTATTTTGTTGACAGATTGTGATGCACCTGATGTGTACGTACTTGGACTCACGGCTGCCACCTCAACCTAAATACCCAGACGGGCGGACATTTACCACCCAGTTCTTTGTAAAGACACCTGACAAGCCCAGTAAGTGTTGCTTATATTACCTTCCTCAGTACAAGCTTGCATGTGATAAGTTACTATACTTAACCAGCCCGACAATACATTCTTTTATCACATAATCGGCCTGTTATCCAGTGAATTCGCCTGTGTAATATTTTCACATATGTCACTAGTGTAATATACCCTGGAGCGTTTTTCATTGGCTGTGCCAGTCAGAAATTGATTGTGATGTCATAATATGGACAATGACGTGACGCCATAAATTGTGAATGGCGCAACAAAATGACTGTCTCCGTTTGATTAAGCCCTCTACATTTCGGCTTTAAAACCTGTCAAAATGTAAGTTTTCAGAGTTATGTGATAAAAAGTATCTTACATTTGTTTTCATTTTATATGAGCTTTTATGAAACTCATATAAAATGAAAACTCTTTTAAGATCCTATATATCTAGGTATAGACTTATTGAATACAACAAGACCAGCTAGGTCACACTTCTAAAAAAAGTACTATGTAAGATCTTAATGTGTAAAATGACTGGCCTGGGTTAAAATTCAGCGTCACTTCATTTGACACAATTGTACCCTGAAAGACTAGGAGTTGCATGACCGAGGCATATATGTTCCCTATAGTTGCTGGATTTTGTATGCAAGTACTGACATGAGGGGCCTGATCATTTATGCTGACTAACTGGTTGTCTTTTATTTAAATGTAACATTTCAGGGGTAAAACCTGACAGACATGTAAGTATTCATAAAGGCCTTGAAAATCTTTGCCAATGCTCTTCAGAAAACAACTCAGATCACTAGATCCTTTCCTGTTTCATAAATGCACAACTCCAGTCCAACCAGTCCATCTGGTTCAATCATTTGGAATGTGATAAATGAAAACGGCCCAGGTCTTATTCACCACTATGTACAGTGTTATGTTAACTTTTGATAGCAAAGATTATCCAGAGGTTAGGGACTTTGAAATGATTGATTTTAAGATCCTATTAAGTATCTGACGCCAGATTACCAAAGCCAAGCAGGGAGTGCGGCATGTAGTTTCCAGTGATCAAAATCTGTCGAAAGTTCTGGGCAGGAAGGCGTGTACAAAATTTAACAGTGTTTATTAGAAGTTCCAAATATTATTGATCTCAAGAGGAATGGAGCTATCAAAATAATAGTAAGGGGGACACAATACCCGTAGGGCATCATATAAATGACTAATTAGCTGTTTACTATGGTCAGTATTCATCTTATTTGTACTGAAAAGTACAAGTTTGGTTTTGACATATAAAGAAGAATATGTTAATTTGGGACAGGGAAAGAGGTATATATTTATTGGCCATTTATAAGGCTGCTATTTTTCATTGTGTCATGCTGAGTTTATTTCACAATATTCATCCTTCTACAAAATATCTAATATACTTGAAGAGTTTTGATGCTTCAAGAGTACATATACTGAACAAAAAAAGAAACGCACAATTAAATTATGCAATCAATAGCCTATGATATTTTGGGAAATTTGTACAAAATTTTATATCAATATGAAGGGACAAGTCTACTCTTTACAATACTGTAGAAGAAAAGTCTGTGTGACGTCACTCATGTCATCAGTAGTTACTCAAAGTGGGATACCCGCGAAAAACAAAATGACACTTCAGTTCCTGGTGTGGGCAACTTTTGCACGAATCCCTGCACGGATTCTCCTATGCATTGAATTCATTAGAACTTTTATACGCCTTAAGGGAATGTTGTTCCATTCTTGTGTTAATGCTGCGATCAACTGGGCGCGGTTAGTTGGAGGGTTTTGACGTTTCCTGATACGCCTGTCCAGCTCATCCCACAGATGCTCGATGGGAGAAATGTCGGGGCTATAATGTGGGCCATTCCAGAGGCTGAACGTTGTTTGCCATGAGAAAGTCATGGCAGACTCTGGCAACATGCGGTCGAGCATTGTCTTGCTTGAAAATTAGGTTATGACGTCTGAGAAGTGGAAGGACATGCATGTCGTTGGAGGATCTGGTCTCTGTATCGTTGAGGTTTTGATCCAGGACCACTAAGGGGGATTTTACTCCATGGGAGATGCCTCCCCAAACCAATACAGAAGCCCCACCGAATCTATCGGGTTCAACCACGCATGCGTCGGCGAAACGCTCACCGCCTCTGCGATATACCCTTTTTCCTCCGTCTGAGCGATACAGACAGAATCTAGATTCGTCGGTGAGCATCAAACGCCTCCATCGACGCATCCCAAACCTATTCAGGCCATGTCTGGGCATCCAGTCAAGATGCACTTGCCGCCTATGTGGTGTCAGAGGTGGCCCGACACACGGTCGGCGCGCAATGATTCTCTCGGCACGCAAGCGGTTCCTGGCAGTTTGAGGACTAATGGGTCTGCCATGAGTACCTAAGGTATGCGATGCAGTCTCTACAGCAGACTTGAATCTGTTGCGCAAGTGCGACAATCGAATCACCCTGTTTTGTCGTGCGGTCGTTACAGGCGGACGACCGCTCCTTGGACGATCGGAAACTAACCCAGTAGCACGGAAACGTGTGCGTTTCTTTTTTTGTTCAGTACATATATACCAATCAGTGTTTTCAGTAGACGCTTGAGAGTATGTTCTTGATTTTCTCTAATGAGCTTTGACTTTTGGTTTTAAGGAAGATACACTGTGTATATACCAGTCCTCTATAAACCCAATGTGTGTATTATTTGTTACAGATCTAGAGAAGGAAGA